TTCAAATTAATTTTAAATGTCAAATAAAAATTGTGTGTATTTATCATATACAATGCAATGTTCTGAAATATGTACATGTTATAAAATGGCTAAATAAAGCTAAATGGGTTTATGACCAAAGGAAATAAAAATCAGTTTGTCAGATATATATTCAGCCATATGTATGATTTGCAGCAATATGCATAAACCTTGAGGAAATTCCGTTGAGTGAAATAATCCAGGTACACAAAGACAAACACCATATTATCTCATATGGAATCTGAAAAATGTAGATCTCATAGAAATGAGAGTAGAATGATAGTTAATTGGGGCTAGGGCTTTTGGGGTTCAGATTAGGATATGATGAACATCCAAGTATATAAAATTTCAGTCAGAAAAGAGTAATAAGTTTGAGAGATCTATAGTACAACATCCTGACTATTGTTAATGACAGTATATTATATTTAAAATTGGTGAAGGTAGATTTTAAGTGTACTTACCCCATAAGATGGTAAGTATATGAGGTAATGCATATGGCCAGGTGTTTTAATCCTCACAATGACCCTGCCTCTGAGAGATGACAGAATATGCCCCGGTTCATGTAGTTAGTAAATACTGATACAAAGTTTCCAATACAGCAACTTGTTGTAGCAGCTGTACTTCCTCCATTCCCTACTGAACTGCACTGTTTGGGGTGCATGTGGCTTTTCTGAACTTGGAGAAGACTCAGAAAAGATTTCTTTTTTGTCTTTAGGCCCCTTAGATGCTGACCAAATATTTGACCATTTGTCCCTCTAGAAGCTAAGGCAGATTAGGACAGAGGTCTGTCTGTGTTTATAGATAGTTGAAGAGTATGAGCTCTTCCTTCTCTCTAATTTGATGAGGCATAAAGGGGGAAGTTTGTTCTGCCAGGCAGTTGAGACCCATCATTCAAGGAGGCCCTCTCCTAGTGGAGCCAGCACCTGAGAGGAAGGGGCTGTACTCCTTGAAAGGAATTGGGGGAAAAAAAGCTATAGGACCACCCTGGACATCAGTAGTCATCTGGCTGCTGATCAGAGAAGAAGCAGACTGGAGAGGAATCATCCTTCTTGGCATCAGAACCAGTGATAGACAGCTGTCAACAGTGGGAAGCCATAGTAGGAAAAGGCTCATGACTTGGTGGGAAAGGGAAGTGGGGCTTACTCTTCCTCCCATCTACCTATTTCTCCTTGTGAGTGTGCTCACAGCCAGGGAAGAGAGCAAGTATCTTGCCACAGATACTCTGTCATTTAGTGAATAAAGGCTGAGCTTCTTCAAAGGGCTTGATGTTAGATTACGTAGGTGCCACTAGGGGGTAGTATTACCACAGTGAGCTCTCATTAGGAACCCGCTGCCTGGCTCCAGCTCTAGCTATAATTTATCTCTAATTGCTTGTCCCTCAGGGTCTTTGAGCCCTAGGAGAAAGGTGAAATCTCTGGACATTCCATTCATTCACCAATTTATTGACTCATTCAATATTGACTGAAGGTCTGCTATGTCACTAGGAGAATCCCTAGAGCTAATGAAATACCATCTCTACTTTTAGAAACTTTGAGTTGTTTATGGATGTATAGATAGGTGTATGCAGCTCTCCCCACTGAGAGGGAGGGAGGGAGGGAGGGAGGGAGGGAGGGAGAGAGAGAGAGAGAGAGAGAGAGAGAGAGAAACTTGGGGCATTGGTTGAATCATGTTGTATATACAACATAGGATTTGGAGTCAGTTCTGGTTCAAACTTTATCTTGGTATTTGGCTGTGTGACTCTTGCCGGCTTATTTAGCCTCTTGAGACTTTCCTTGGTAAAATGGTAATCATACTAAAATCTTAGACATTTATGATTTAATTCTGAAATAAGTAAAGTGCCTGTTGCATAGTAGCCTTTCTTATATCAGTTGTTCTTGATATGTATGTAAGTGGACATTGCTTTGGGAATTCAGATGAAGGAGTCATGAAATCAGGAAACGTTTATGTCTCAGTAAATACTTAGGATATGTAGACTTTGTATTTGAAGACATCAACTCTTCTTCTGTTCTTACTTTATAAATTAATGTGAAAGTACAACTGGGAGCTGGGAGATAGCTCAGTGGAATAAGTGCTTGCCTGGCAAGCACAAGGTCCTGAGTTCAATCCCTGGTATGACCAACCCCCCCCCAAAACAACAACAACAACAACAACAACAACGACCAAAAAAAAAACCCTTTAGGGCCGGCCAAATAGCACAGCAGATTAAAGTGCCTGTAGGCAGGCACAGGGACAGTGGCTTGATCCCCAGGCCTGCCATACTGGCCCCACCCCCGGGCGTGCTCACCAGGCAATTGAGGCTGCTGACCGGGCAATTGAGACTGGGCGTGGTGGCACACCCCTGTAATCCCAGCTCTCGGGAGGCTGTGAACAGGCAGATCACTACGAGTCTGATCTAGTAGTGAGACCATGAACACCCTGTAGACCCTTCCCTAAAAAATTTTTTTTTAAAAAAAAGTACAAGTGGGGCTGGTGAGATGGCTCAGTGGTCTAAAGCACCTACTTAGAACAAGCTTAGCAAAGCCCAGCGACCATGGTTCAATCCCCCAGCACCACATGCCAGCCAGCCCCGCCCCTTGGTGGGCTGAGCTGGCCACACACACACACACACACACACACACACACAAATAAATAAATAAATAAATTTTTTTAAAAAAGTACAAGTGGCCCATTGCTGCAATCAAAGGCAAGTTGTTCTTCTATCATCTCTGTTCCCACTTTGTTCCACTTCCCCATGACCTAATATCTTAGTTCTCAAGGTCCATTCTGTCTTCAGGATGTTCAATGAATGTTTCTCTCCGGGAGTAAGTTGTTCCCTAGAGCTTGCTTCTTCCTACCAATTGCATCTGTACACTTACTCTTTTTGCAGCTCTATGGAAAATTGAACTAAACTCTGTTAATTGGGCCTAGTGTTAGGTTTAGGATAAAAAAAGATTTTAATATGACAGTGCCATAATTCATATGTCTCACTGCCAGGCAGCTGTTATTTGAATATGTTTGTAAACATTTTTCTTTTTTAAATTTTTTATTAGTATATGTTTGCAGTATGTAATAGTTAGATTCTTCATGAGGAGTTGGTACATGTACCTAATATCTTCATTTTCTTTTCACCTCCTTCCCCTCCCCACTCTCCTTCTTCCCATCATGTCTGGGTCCCCTTTTCTTTTGCAAAAGATCTATTTCCATATTGTGTAATACTATCTTTTATTTTAGTCTTATATTTTAGGTTTCTCATGTAAGAAAACTATGTGATATTAATGTTTATGTGTCTGATTTAATTAACATTATGGCCTCAAGGTATACCCATTTCCCTACATATGACTCAATTTTATATTTTTTATGGCAGAGTACTACTTTATTTATAAATATAACATTTTCTTTATTAATCTGTTGATAGACATTATAGGCCACTTTCAAGATTTCGCTATTATGAATTGTGCTGCTATAGATATAGGCATGGATGTGTCATTGTAATATGATGTCTTTAACTCTTGGAAAGATACATAAAAGGGGAATACTTGAGTAATTAGAAATATGTTTTAGAAAGATCATCACCTCTGCCACACTGATCTTTCTAAAACATATTTCTAATTATCTGTCAGCATGAGGTAGATGGGAAGTGGAAGTATTTTTCTTGTGACCTAAGTAATAGCAGTTTCTTCCTTGTTTCTACCTCTGTCTGAGTTTCTTTACTCTAAACCCCTATTTCCACCCCCACCTAAAGAAAATATAAAGAAGACTTGCTTATTGTCAGGCTGAACTCATTAGGCTGTGGCTTATCTTTCCTGCCCCCATCTCTGGTGGTGGGCATATAAGAATTGAGCTGACAGACAGACCATTATTAACATGCTAATGACGGCAACTGGAGAACAGTGTCCATCTGTCTTTTCCTGACAGGCTTCTCTTTCTTGACCATTGCTTAGGCAAGCCTGCTATGATGAGGTATATATCTTGTTTTCATCTTCAACCTGTGTGAGGCAATCATTACTGGGCTCTTTCTAGGACTGGAAATAAGTATTGCAAAACCTAGGGAAAACAGAGCTTTGGGATATATACATCCAAAAATACTTCCTTGGAATATTATATAAATGGGAGTCAATCTTTAAGTTCCAGACATTATTCCCAATTGCTAAATATAAAGAACATCCTGGAGACTGAGTTGGTGATATTATGGCCAGTGATGCAGTCATTTATGCCCACATGATAGATCCTTCATTAAAAACCCAAAGGATGGGCCAGGGAGATGGGCCTGAGTTCAATCCCTGGTTCCGGAAAAAAAAAAACAAAACAAAGGATGGAGTTTTGGATAGATGAACCCATGTGGAGGTCCAGAGGATGATATGCTGGAGGACCTAGAAGCTCTTTACTCTTCCCATAATTCACCCTTTGTGTTCCTTCCATCTCATTGTTCATTTGTATCCTTTGTAACACCCTTGATAATAAATGGGTGAACACAAGAAAAGGTAAAGGACAATACATGGGAGGAACCCAGAAAAATAAAAGTAAGTGTTACCACAGCAATCTCTGCCTTCAGTTTTAACCTTGTCTGGGAGTAGACAGCTACATGCTATCAAAGAGGGAAGGGAGACGTAGAAAGTCCATGGGACTTGAATGGTTTTGGAATTAAACAGACTGGATCTTCAGACAAATAATTTCAGTTCTCTAAAATTTTATCAACTATAAAATCAGTGTAATTGATATATATCATAGTGCTTTTATGAAAATGAAGATAATTGATTTAAGGTTCTTGGTGTGTGAATTGCTAATAAGTAATAGACCATTTTCCTACCTCAGCAATAGTACTTTGTGACAATAGTACAGATGCTGACATTTGTTGCTGACTGCTGTCTAAATGTATTTTTCTTTTCTAATGTGAGCATCGTAAGCCTTTTAAGGGCAGAGGCAAGGTTGGCTCCAATTTGTGTCTTCTGCCTGGCACAGGGTAGATATTCAAGCCATTATGGTTTTTCTGTTTTCTCTTTCAGGTGGTGAAAACTATTGGCCTGAGAGAAGTTTGGTTCTTTGGTCTGCAGTACCAGGACACCAAGGGTTTCTCCACTTGGCTGAAACTCAATAAGAAGGTAACTGTTTACTCATCTGTCATTTGAATACCTTCCTCCATCAAAACTTGTTTATGGGATAGCCTGGGCTAGCTCGCAAACCTGGATTACCTAGCGCATATCACTAGGTGGTCTGTTGATCACCTGGATTACAATGAGGGCAAAGGACTCAAGTAAGGAAAAGCTCTTACTCTGTCTGCACTTTGACTTGACACTGGCAGCATCTAAGAAGGAGAATACCTTTTTCTTTCACTGGAATCTCTGTCCTTAATTTTGACTTTTTTTTTTTTTGACTAAAGTCCTTAGTGGTTTTTTGAGAGTAGATTGGCATCATTTTTTTTTTTTAATTTCAAAATCAAGGGCTGTGGGAAAAAAGAACCTTAGACTTCTATTATTTTTTATTTTAAAGAGAATAAAAATGATAAACCATTAGAAACAGTACAGAATTTCAGAAAATAAGATGATAGAAATATAATAGTATAAAAATGCCTGTTATATTGCATATTGTTGTCTTCAAAGTAGTTGTTCAGACTACCAGATATAAGCATGCAGAATTGGTCAAAAAAAGGAAGCGCTAACTATTCCTTTCGATAAACCAATAAAAATTAGTAGTACAATTGTCTTAGCTATCTTATATACATTCTCTGTCTCTGTCTGTGTGTCTGTCTGTCTGTCTCTTCCTCCTTCCCTCCCTCCCTCCCTCTCTGGCTCTCTCCCTCTCTCCCTCCTTCCCTCCCTCTCCTGTTAAAATTTGAGGCCATTTGGTGGAAATATTGTCAGATATTATTATTACTTGAGAGTTTTTGATCATCAGTATCAACAAGAAGTGATTGTGGACATGGGACTGAGACGGATTTCCAATGAAATTAATTTCTCTTTTTAGAATTGTCAGCAAGATTTCGACCTAGCTTCTTAAGATTACTCAAACTAATGACCTTTCAGTGGCTTCTCCTCAACCTACTGTCACTCCCCAAACATGAAATCCTGCTTTTTAGAGGTTATTAACCCCTTGTTGCTCCTAGGTAACTGCACAGGATGTACGAAAGGAAAGCCCTCTGCTCTTTAAATTCCGGGCCAAGTTCTACCCTGAAGATGTATCTGAAGAATTAATCCAGGATATCACCCAGCGCCTGTTCTTTCTGCAAGTGAAGGAAGGTATTCTCAATGATGACATTTACTGCCCACCTGAAACTGCTGTGCTCTTGGCTTCTTATGCTGTCCAGTCCAAGTATGGTGACTTCAACAAGGAGGTGCACAAGTCTGGCTACCTGGCTGGAGACAAGTTGCTGCCTCAAAGGTAAGATGGCACCCTAGTCTCCTTTGCCTTTGCCAAAGGAAACTGCAACCCAAGGATGACTAATACCTGTTCTACAGGGCCTGCTGGGTCTGTTCCTCTTCCCTTGGGTCTGCCTAAAGACCTTGTTATGCTGCTTAGAGTGATCTGTTTGCATGTATCATCATGCCCGGTTGTTTCTCTGGCTCTCAAAATGAAAAGCCTTTTGTTTTTCCACTCTCTCTGCTCAATTACAGAACTTCATTACCCTGGAGATAGATACTTACATAGAAGCAGAGGTAGATTTATTTCTCCTTACTTCTATTTTTCTCAATCCCTTTCACTGATTTAGACCATTTATTTCAGAAGTTGATAGGGGGGAGAGAGGCGTACAAAAGCCAGAGACCTCAGTCTTTTAATATTGATAATTTTTTATATATATATAGTGATTTCATTTTTTTGTAAACTTCAAAGTTGAAAGCTCTCATATATACATTATTTTTTGTCTTAGCATTGCAACAACACAAAAAATGAATAAGGCAGGCATTATCCTTATTTTGAAATGGACATGTAGAGGTACTTGCCATGATTTGTCCCATCTCCCATAGCTCATTTGAGGCAGAGATATACTAAAAACCCTAATTTCTTTTTTTTAAGCTAGGTTTTTCTGTTGCATCTGATTATCTGTTCCATAGACTTTTTTTTAGGCGGAACTGGGGATTGAACACAGGCCCTTGCGCTTACCAGAGAAGCGCTTATTCTACTGAGCCATTTCCCCAAGCCCCCGTAGACTTTTGTATTAGGAAAAAAAAATGAAATCTCTGTGATTCCTCGGTGCCAGTGGATCTGTGGCATATATACAATCCAACAGAAGGAATTAGGGATACTGATTGTGCCCTGGGATGCTTTATGCATTGTCAGAATATCAGAAGTTCAATGTTTAAAGCAAGCCTCTTTTATAATCTAGTAGATATGAGAATTTGGACCTATAATTTCTTTCAAAGACATTTGGGCTTAGTTCTGTTCTGTAGCCAAAAGCTGTCCTCTCACGCCTCAGCAATATTCTTACAAACTGTTGGTCTCAAGTGAATCTGAAAGGATGTACTCATTTCTGTGAGGTCCATCCTCACTTTTTGTCCCTCATATTAGCACATATTCCTTAGAAATCACTCTTATACTTAGAAACTACAGGATATTGTTGAATTTTCTAATTATGGCAACACAGCAAGGTGGTCCCACTGTTTTTTTTAGTCATCTCTAAATTATAGCTCTCCTATCACTTAGGAAATTCCTTATGTCTAATTTAATATCTTTTGCTCTGATTTTAGTCTACCTCATGTATGACCTTGTAGTCTGATTGCACATTTTGAGCAGCTTCTTCAGAGAACTGAGTTGGCTTCCTTTCCATTCTGCACATGGTCTTTACACTTAAAACTAAACACTATGTGTTGCCTTTCCAGAGTCCTGGAGCAACACAAACTCAACAAGGATCAGTGGGAGGAACGGATTCAAGTCTGGCATGAAGAACACCGTGGCATGCTCAGGTAAGCTATTCTGGAAGGTGTGGTCCCCACTGTCCTTGCAGAGTAAATAAGAGCAGGTTCTGTGGTGAAGAAGTAGATGATTGGGAATATTAGTGGATGCTGGAGGAGAGACAAGGATGATGCTGATACTTAAAGAAAGATAGAAAGCAAACCAGAGCCAACATAAGACGTGTGTGTGTGTGTGTGTGTGTGTGTGTGTGTGTGCTGGTAAATATGATAACTGTTAGTCTAATTTTGACCATCAAGCAATGAAGGGAACATTGGGATCTGCAAACAGCATCAGAGTCACCAAGTGGCTTCTCCCAAAGATGAAATAGAGAAAGATCTCTTTAAATATTACAAAACACTTAGGGTAGTTTAGCTGAGGAACAGATACTGTGCTTTCACCACTCACTCTTAGCTCTGCTAAGAGTATATGAAAGGCTGTTACAATGAATGATATGGAGAAAATAGTGTTCATGGCAGGTAATAGGCCAGAGGTCAACAAGGATCAGCCCACCTTTATTCCCCTTAAGTACCTCAGACCTTAGGTTCCTTTCAGCAAATTTTGCTTGACAAAAATCATATGTGTTATATTCTATCGTCTGCTTTCCTGCCACCCCTTTACCCACTTCTGATAGCAAAATACTTATCAAAAATGCAAAGCAAGTAAATTTTTCTGTCTCTGTCTGATTCAGAGACTTCCCTCTGTGACACCTCCTTCTTTACCCTGTGTCTTTTAGAGAGGATGCTGTCCTGGAATATCTAAAGATTGCTCAAGATCTGGAGATGTATGGTGTGAATTACTTCAGCATCAAGAACAAGAAAGGCTCAGAATTGTGGCTAGGGGTAGATGCCCTAGGTCTCAACATCTATGAACAGATTGACAGGTATATCTCAGACTTCTTTTAGTTTATTTGGGTCACTCTGATACTTAAGGCTCACCCTCACCTTGGAGCAAGACAGTGTCTCTTGAGTCTCACCTTAGTTTTTTTTTTCTACCTAATTTGGTGGGTCCAGATAATTGTACAATTTCCCTCAAGTCTATAAATCCTGTATTGCTTAGATTTTCATTGACCACTGTGTTGTCCCTGAGCCACACATGGTGGATGAACTCTTTTTTTAAACTAATTTTATTGAGAAAGAAGTAGCAAGAAGACAGTTTTAAACAGGTTAGTAGTAGTTACAATAATTGATGCATTGTGTATTGTTGTCTTTGTAGTAGTTATTTATAGTATAAAATGTAGACATGATATCTTGTCTAAACACTATTAGTTCAAAACTTTCACTGAACTGAGAGAAAGTAGCTGTATATGTATGTTGTTTTGTATATATATATATATATTTACTGCAAAAGGGTCCTTCATTTATATCCTCCATTTTTATTTACTTTTGTCAGAGATGTGTATTCCATCACCATTCATATATTGTAGGTGCATGAATTCAGCAGAGTAATTCAATATAGTCCAATAGTCTATAATAGTGGGTTATCCACATGACTGGCAATGTCAGAAGTTGTTGACTTGAGCCTTTTACAGCTCAGCATGTTAATATGGCTTTACTTTTTATACTTCATTTTTATACTTTTCTGCTCAGTGGTTAAGACCAAGATAAAGCAAGATCTATATAACACAAAATGTAACTTTTGTATCTCACAAGATCAGTCAAATTCCCTCAGTACTTATTTACCCTTAAACCCTGTACAACAGTTTACCCTTAAACCCTGTACTTTTGTCAGTGTGAGCCATGTGGATGAGTCAGGGCCAGTGCTTGACCAATTTGCTCTCTGAGAAAGTCTGAGAGAATATTTTTTCTCCATGTGTCTCTCCTTAGGCACATCTACGTCATTGATCACTTTGCTCTGTGGCCCCATAATCTTTTTGATCAGAAAATTTGAGCACCACTGAGTTGCCGGATGTTACAGTTCAAGTTCCCTTATGTCCTGAGTCTTCACTGACCTTAAAGAAGGACTAGGGCCGAAATATTGGCTATCCTTGTAGCCCTTCTTTTTCTCTAATTTTTGTTCTGCAAACTTAAGTTGTTAACCCTCCAGAAGAGAAGCTTAATGATATTATTACCCTAGAACATAGGCTATTGAGCTTAACATCAGTATCTGTCTGAACTCTTAAAATGTGGCTACTATGTATTAGACTTTGAAGACTTACTATGAAAAATAAAACGTAAATGGCTCAATTTTTTAATAATAATTTATATATTTAAATTGTAGGTGACGTATATAGAGTTAATTAAATTGTATTGTAATTAACTCCACTTGTTTGTATTTTATTCATGTTCATGTAACTACTAGAGAACTTAAAATGTATTTATTGTATGTACTATGACTATCATATATCATATTAATATGTATAATTTTTTAAAGGTAATGATGGCCTAGAATCTACCTTGCCAGGATTTGTAAATTGGTTCAAGTCCCATGTGATGATTACCTTTTGGCCTATAAGTCTCTTCTGTGGCCTCATCTTCCTTGCATATCCCCTTCTACCCTTGCTCTACTCTTGGTGAAGATGGAGATGAATAGATTACTGTTCCACATAACTTCTAAACCTTGGGATTTATTATTTATCATCTTCCTGCTATTTATCACCTTAGAAGAGTCTCTCTGAAATAGGGCTAGGGATGTTCTTAAGAGGACTTTTACAAGGTCAAGAAAGTGGAAAAAAAAATCTCAGATTGGAACAAAGAATAAAATGTTGATTGTGGTATTAGGAGGTCCTTTTACCCAACATTAATGCTGGCAATTGATTTGGTAGCATGTGACAGCACTGGTACTGGGCCTACCACCTCAAGAAAGAATTTTTCAGGGGAGGAGAGAGGTGAGGCAAGACAATAGCCTTCAATGCCTTTCTTATCTTCCCTTTGTGCTGATGCTTTTGGTCTCTACTGTTACAGACTGACACCCAAAATTGGCTTTCCCTGGAGTGAAATCAGGAACATCTCTTTCAATGACAAGAAATTTGTCATCAAGCCTATTGACAAAAAAGCCCCGGTGAGTGACTCCTCCCTTTGATAGTGATAGGTACTCAGCAAGGCCTGTATTATCCTAAACATGATCATGTCGTATTTGTCTTTTCTTTTTGTGAATTACTGTGTGGGGGCATAAATGTAGGTTGACATGGAAGGAAATATGAGGTCTAAGAAAGATATAGGAATCATTTTATACCTGGTGCTATTCTACTATCTGTCTCAATGACACCCTGCTAGCCCTCTTGTCATTTTATCTCTGTGTCTCTGTCTTTCTGTCTCTTTTTCTCTGTCTGTCTTTCTGCCTTTCTCCCTCGCTTCCTCCCTCCCTCCCTCCCTCTTTCCCTCCTTCTCTCCCTCTTTTTGAAGGCGAGCCACAGGCATTCTAAATTCTGCTTCTTAACCATTGTTTTCTGCTACTATGAGACAATGAGATGCTGCAGGGCCAGGGAGATGGCTCAGTAGAATAAGTGCTTCCCTGGCAAGGGAAGTTGCCTGTGGCTAGCTAACAAGGGCCTGAGTTCAATCCCCGGTTTTGCACAAAAAAAGAGATTCTGTAATGAAAACAGATAATATCTTATAATTCTTAGCCCCTCACCCCTAGAAAATAAATTATATTCACATATTTTTTTGACCTTTAATTGTGGTAGAAAAACAGAGCAAGAAAGTCCAAATCCGCAGGGCCAGGGAGATGGCTCAGTAGAATAAGCACTTCCCTGGCAAGTGCAAGGGCCTGAGTTCAATCCTTGGTTATGCCAAAAAAGAAAAAAAAAAAAGAAAAAAAAGGCAAATCCAAAGAGGATCTTCTAAATTTGCTTTTTGGTATAATTTTATGAGTGCCTTCTCAGATTTCCTTCCAGGACAACCTAAGATCAAGAAAAGTCATTGAGTCCAGATCTCCCTTTAATGTATTCATCACCCTCCTTACCTACTTAGTTGCCTGTGGCTAGCTAACAAGACTAGAAAACTCATGATTGAGAGTAAGATAGAAACTCACATGAGGGTCTACTTTTCTGGTGTACCTTGTGTCTGACTTTGAGCCTGACCTATTTCATGAGATCTTAAACTTCTCCAGCCCAAAGGTGTCTGAACTTCCCTTAGGTTGAAGAAGTTCAGACATACTTTGTATGTGTTGTCTCCTTAAATGCTCAATAACTTGATTATATGGTTATACCCATTAAATTGATGAAATTCATATTCAGAGGGATGGAGTGATTTGCCTAAGATCACATAGCTAAAGCAGTACAGCTGTGATTTATGTCTAGATCATTTGATCTTAAGAGCCTGTGTTCCTTCCATTGTACCCCAAGCTGTATGAAATGATAGCAGTTTGACTTGACAGCAAAGTTAGTGGTCAACCCATCAGCTGGTGATCTTGGTCCAGTGGTATTGGTAGTAACTAACTCAAACTCACTGGATTTTCTTGTGTGTTTCTTATTGCTGCTGTGCTCAACTTTCATCAGAAAAAGGTAAGTAATAAAACCAGCTGAGATAAAGGGCTTATTAAAGAAGCAGCCAGTACAGTCAGTGTTTAGGGGATGTATTTATGAGTGTACTTATATATAGCCTACCTTGTTCTAAAAGTATTTAAAGAAGAAAAACAGAAAGAAATGTATAAGAAATTAAGAAGAGAAAAAGTACAATTGAAAAAAAAGGAGACGAAACAAATTAAATCATCATTTGTTCCTTTCCATAGACCTGCAGAAATCTACAGTATAGCTGTCCAAACCATCCTGCTGACATAGTTAGATAAATCTTTTTCTCCCACTCCCTCTCCTATCCTTCTCCTTAACTCAGTAACTCTTTCCTTTTGAATAAGTTCATTCCTTTTTCCCAGTATCTATTGTACCCTTCAGATTAATTTTTCTCTTTTTCTTCAATTTTATATGGATATATCTGCTAATATGAATAACTGATTGGAAGACAACACTATGTATTACAAGCAATACCGTGTAATTCATATTACTTTGTTAAGTGAAATTCTGTATCACTATTAATTTTTTCTGGGTTTTTTTTTCTGTATTTTTAGGGAAGGGTCTATAGGGTGTTCAGGGTCTCACTATTAGATCAGACTCATAGTGATTCTCCTGTTTACAGCCTCCCAAGTGCTGAGATTACAGGCCTGTGCCACCATACCCAGTCTCATTTGCCATCTCAGCGTGCCCCAGGGTTGGGGCTGGCACAGGAGGCCCAGGAGATTGTTTTTGTGTTTTAATTCTAATTTATACTCTCTTTTTAAATTTTTTTTAAAAAAATATTTAATTTCCTGAGTTAACCCCTTATATCTTGGCAAAACCCTTACCAAACAAATAATCTTGAAAAAAAATAAAATGAAAGTATATAAAGTTCTGAGTTTAGGTGATGCTTTTTGGAGATTGCAGCAACAGTTCAGTCACCCATTTTGTACCCAGTAGGATAGTGTGCAGAGACTGTGGCTTTTAAAAGAAGCACTCTGTAGCTCAATATCATATCTAATTAGTAGAGAAAGTCAGCTCTGATTCTTCACTTGAATTGAGGGTATTTTAGGATGCTTTCTGTAAGTAAATATTGAAAGGAATTGTGGCTTGATGAACTACTCTTGCAGAGTTAAGAAACCTGAGTTCTAGGGCTGGCCAGATAGCTCAGCAGACTAAAGTGCCTGCTTAGGCAATATAGTGACCAGGGTTCAATCCCTGGCATGCTGTGCCAGCCCTGCCCCCAGGGTGCACTGAGATGGCGATTGAGACTGGGCATAGTGGCACCCGCCTGTAATCCCTGAGCTTAGAAGGGTAAAAACAGGAGGAGGGTCACTATGAGTCTGATCTATGTAGTGAGACCCTGGTGACCCTGTACTAAATACATAAAAAAGGAAAGAAAACTGAGTTCTAGTCTTTCTCTACCACTAGCCTACCATCTGACCCTGGGCAAATCACTTCACCAGTCTGATCATTAGTTTTCCTATCTGTAATGGAAAGGATTGGATAAATAGTCTTCCCAATTTGGATTTAGGTTTTCAGAAGATAGAAGTTCTGCTTTGCCTGTTCTTCCAAGCGCTTTTTGACTGCTGTTTTTCCATCAGGACTTTGTCTTTTATGCTCCTCGACTGAGGATTAACAAGCGGATTTTAGCCCTGTGCATGGGGAACCATGAGCTATATATGCGCCGCCGCAAGCCTGACACCATTGAAGTGCAACAGATGAAGGCACAGGCCCGGGAGGAGAAGCACCAGAAGCAGATGGAGCGGTAGGTGCTATAGAGCTGGAGTGGGAGCCTGCTTGTTAGTGCTAGGGTAAAGGAGCTGTTCAAGACTCCTGAGCCTTCCAATGCAGTCTGTGAATTCAGCCTAGTACTAAGAGTGAGTGAGCTGCAGGGATGGTACCTCCTGCATTCATTCTCAAGGTGTAGACATCCTTGTTTCCCTTGCTATGGGATGGATGGACATTTCCTATTTCCTCATTGGCTATGAACTTCAAGCCATTGGTAGATAGCCTCTGAGTTGCTCTAGGCTGACTAGTCTAGTGGCAGTAGTAGAGAGCTCTATGCACAGTTAAGCTTGCATTTTCTAGGGATTTTTGAACAGAAATAGAGCCCCCCCATTTTTCCTACAAGACCATAGTATATTCAGTATAGCCTCTTGCTACTCAAAATATAATCTGCAGCTCATCATCATCATCAACTTGGGAACTTGTTAGAAAGGCAAAATCTAAGAGCATGCTCCAGACCAGTGATCAAAGTCTGTATCTTAAGATCTAGATGATCATTTCTTCAAAGAAATATTCAGATGGCCAGCAAACACTTATATTCATCCTTTGTCATTAGGTAAATGCAATGGAAACAGTAATGAGGTACTACTTAATACCTTTTAGTGTAGACACAAAAAAATAAAACTGGAAATAAGTTAGTGAGGCTGTGGAGAAATTGGGATCCTCATGTACTGCTGCGGATGATGTGAAAAGATTGAAAACAGTGGGACAGGTCCTCAAAATGTTGAACATAAAATTACAGTGTACTTCTCCAATCCTGCTCCTAGGTAAGTAGCTTCAAATAACTGAAAATGAGTATTTAAGCAAATATGTGTATACACATGTTTATAGGAGCATTATAAACAATAGCTAAGATATGAAATGTTTATCAATAGAAAAAAGAGAAACAAATTATAAATACATATAATGGAGTTTATCTTAGTCTGTTTTGTATTGGTAGAAGAAAATTTCTGAGACTGGATATTTTATGAGTAGAAGTTTATTTTGGCTCATGGCTTTTGAAGTTGACAAATCCAAGAAAGAAATAAGGCACTCACATCTGCTAAAAGCTTTTTAGTATATCATAGTATGGCAAAGGGCATCATCACATAGCAGGAGCACATGTAGGGACAGAGTATTACATGAGCAAGAAGGATTCGGGGGGTGGGTGCCAGGCTTACTTGCAATAACCTATTTTCACAAACACTGTAATCCTGTGAAACCTAAACCATTCACTTCAGCTAGGGATTATCCCTTCTGAGTTTTGTACTCTTAATGACCTAATCACCTCCTACTAGGCTCCACCTTGTGAAGTTTTTACCACCTCTCAATACTGTTACATTAGGGAGCAAGCCAATAATATTGAACTGTAGGGGTTCTAAACCACAGGAGAATATTTTTCAGCCATACACATCTAAACCACAGGAGAATATTTTTCAGCCATACATACTGTGCAGTATGGTTGCACCTCACAAACATTAGGCTGGGTAAAAAAGTTAAACATAAAAAGTTATGTATTATGATTCTATTCACAATAAAACATATGTAGAAACAGAATGTAGATTGGTGGTGGTCAGGGGTTTGGGAGTGGGGAGAAACTTCCTAATGAGTATGAGGTTTGACTTTGGAGTGATGAAAATGTTTTGGAGCTAGCAAAAGGTGGTTGAATAACATTGTAGATATACTAAGTGGCTCTGAATTATGCACTTTAAAATGGTTTATGTTGGGGACCTGTCCCTTAGCTCAGTTCTTTAAGTGACTGCTTCAACAAAGCAGTCAGGCTCAGGTTGCTGTGGTTCGATCCCCACAACTCAAGCCAGCCAAACCTGCCCTGAGGGCATTCGGAGCAAAGAAAAAATGGTTTATGTTATGTGAACTTTAATAAATTATTTTAAAAGTTCTCAGTTGATTCCTATGAACATTAAGATTTGAAGAGCATTCTTGTTATAAAAATTTGGAACCTTCTTGGTGCAGTGGCACACACTGGTAACCCCTGTACTCTGGGAGGCTGAGGTAGAAGGATTACAAATTCAAGCCCAGTCTGAGCAACTTAGTGACTTAGTGATACCCTGGAGATGGCTGGGGAGGTTACTCAGTGTGAAGGCCCTGGGTTCAATCCCTGCTACTGAGAGAGAGACATATATAGAAACAGACAAATATAGTTTGGACTCATGGAAAGTTTCTAATGTACTAGACTAGACATTAGCCACTGTATGAGTATTTACATACTAATGTTCACATTTATTTAGAAAATTTTACCAAGATAGGGGTCAGTTCACAGAGCTTAATCTGGCAGCTATTAGCCTTCTAAGTCTTCATGGTCTAATAAATAGAAAAAAAATTAATCTCAATCAATCTCTCTGTCTCTGTCTCTCCTTAACATATTTATATATCTCTCAAGATAGAAAGACTGTTCAATTCATCCACTTAGTAAATATTTATTGATTAATGAAAAAAAGACCAAAAATGCTTGTCCTGATAATACTGTCATTCTAATGTGAGGGGAAGGAGATAAACATAATAAATAAATTACATAGTATTGGTATGGTAAAAAGGACTGTGGACAAAAATAACAGGGAATAGGGATGGGAAACAGCACATGCCCAGTACAGCACATACCTAGTATTTTGAGAGCTCACAGGGAGAAAAAACATCTAGCCAAGGGATAAGAAGGCTTTCTTGAAGGGTTGCTAATTCAAGAAAGAAAATACTTATTCTAGGTCTGCAACACACTCTTAGGGCGAAGATCCTAGAACCAGGCTTCAGGGCAGGCAAAGTTAGACCTAGCCACAGGGACTTCTAGTCTGAAGCATATCATCCTAGTATGGGGCTATAAGTCCACAAAACAGAGTAGGACATACAGGCCATTGTATAGATAAGGGAACTGAGAAAAAGAACAGAACAGCAGCATAGCTATGGTGGCTGAGAGGGTTACTCATACATCAGGAATTCCAGACTGGGTTTCCTGAGTCAGGGGCAAACTGACTGGTCCATGAGCATCCACCCTATGTAGGGCTGTGATACGGAGGTAAGGATGTAGAGGTAAGTGAGCATGCTCTAAGTATACAAGCTCTGGGTGTGTTGGAGGAGAGAAGTTTGAGGGGAGCCTAGAAATCCCCAAATTTTTATGTAGCTTTGCTGTATTTTCCATCTGCCCATGTCCATTTCCTAGTGCCTTGCTGGAAAATGAGAAGAAGAAGCGTGAGATGGCAGAAAAGGAGAAGGAGAAGATTGAACGGGAGAAAGAAGAACTGATGGAGAAGCTGAAGCAGATTGAAGAACAGACTAAGAAGGCTCAACAAGGTAAAGCTTAGTTACATGACAAATGAGTTTCCCTAGATTCTGACTATGTGAGCTGCATACCTTTCTTCTTGAGCTGTAGATCCAGTTGATATTGTACAAATAGGGCCACAGAAGAGATGAAGGATGAATGAAGAAGAATTTTCAGAACCTCCTGCCAGTTGTGCCATGGGATGGAGCATTTCCAGGAAGAAAGATAGTGTGTTATCTTCATCCTGGTGCCCATCACATATCTCTCCCTTTTCTGCTTAGAACTGGAAGAACAGACACGCAGAGCCCTGGAACTTGAGCAGGAACGGAAGCGTGCCCAGAGTGAGGCTGAAAAGCTGGCCAAGGAGCGCCAGGAAGCTGAAGAGGCTAAGGAGGCTTTGCTGCAGGCCTCCCGGGACCAAAAGAAGACCCAAGAACAACTGGTAAAGCTGCACAAAGGGCGAGATTATGGAACCTGTGTTTTCTCCTTTGTCTGCCTGCCTGTGCTTGAAGGGATGACTCTTTGTAGGTTTCCATTCCACAAGCCTCGAACAGTTCGTTCAGAAGCAAGCTGAGACATCAGTGGTGCGGCCTAGAAACCTTTGTAGTCTTTACTAGCCCTTCATTTTTATTCCCTTTTTTTTGTTTTTCTTTTTTTCAGAGAAGGTCTCATTATGCAGTTCAGGTTGGCCTTGAACTCACTGTGTACCTCTTGCTAGCCTCAAATGCATGTGGAGTGTCCTGCTTCAGCTTGTGGGGTACTGAGATTATAAACTGCAAGTGTGCATCACCATGCCTGGGTTTTAGTTACTTTCTTATCTTTGGAGATCTGAGCTGGTAACCTGACAAAGGAAAAGAAGTGAGGAGTAAAGGTCCTCATGCTTTTTTAGTGTCTGCTGTATCTTCCTGTGCTAGCTGTGCTTCCATTTTACTTATTTTTTATTTTTTACCAGCAACCCTATGAGATTAACCCCCATACAAAAATCTTTCCAGATAAAGAAATTAGGTCTTCATGAGGTTAAGAGACTTGCCAAAGGTCACATAGTTGCAGGATTAGAACCCACTTCTCCCTCAGGTTGAAATCACATGCAAAACTGTGTCCATACATTATTTGGTGTGGGGGGATGTGTGTCCATATTTTTTATCACAATTTGCAGAGTTTCTGTAACTTAGAAGTTAAACTGCAATCTCAATTTTTTGACATATCCTCTGCCTTTGAACTGTTCGGGGTGGGATTTGAGGGAACCAAAACCTAGCTGTCCAAAGAAGCCTTTTGGGAAATTTGCCCAAGGTGTGAATGTGTGCATAAGCTTTTTTCCCTTGTTCAGATCACCTTGAGACATTTGTGTTCTTATCTTAGCAGATACCTATGCATCTCAGGGCAGCAGAGAAGAGTTGGTACTTAGGTTGCCTCTAGATCTTCAAGGAGGCCCTAACTCCATGCACAAATGAGAGGGATAGGAGGAGAGGGAGGGAAAAAGAGAGACAGATAAGAAGAAGACAGAGAACTGACATGTTACCCTCTTTGCAAGGTGTACAGTTTAGGAGAGGAGCTATGGTTTATAAAAGAAGTCCTAGGTAAGGAAGAGAGAACTGAAGTGGAGTAATAATGGTTAAAATCCTGCCTGTGGAGCAAGCACATGGACTAGCAAGTTTCTAACTGGTTTTGTGGGGGAATTTGGGTTGTAGTCACCTGGTCCTTGAGGATCAGGAGGCACCACCCTCACAGGCTTCCAATTTACCTGTAGGCTTCAGAAATGGCAGAGCTGACAGCTCGGATCTCTCAGCTAGAGATGGCTCGACAGAAGAAGGAGAGTGAGGCTGTCGAGTGGCAACAAAAGGTAAGACAGAGCACCAGAATGAAGTACCGTGAGAAGGGATCCTACAGGCATGCAAGTCAGCTCCTCAGATTTCCTACCTTTGGGCTCTTTCCACCTTGCACCATTTCTGTATAACTGGCATGGTGGAAGAAGATGGTCAATGTTTGCTCAAACACTTTTCCAAAATTCCCTAATACCCCCAAGGTAGTGCATAGAAATGCTTCTGTTTTATAACTGTGGAAACTAGGAATCAGGCAGAGGAAATCATTTTCCCATTTTATGTCTGAAAACAGCCAGACTTCATGGCAAGCATAGATTGCCCCAGGTTACTTAGTCTAACTTCCGATTTTTGTGTCACTGGACAGGCACAGATGGTACAGGAAGACTTGGAGAAGACCCGTGCTGAGTTGAAGACTGCCATGAATACACCTCATGTGGCAGAGCCTGCAGAAAATGAACAGGATGAACAAGATGACAATGGGGCAGAGGCCAGTGCTGACCTGCGGGCTGATGCAATGGCCAAGGACCGCAGTGAGGAGGAACGTACCACTGAAGCAGAGAAGAATGAGCGAGTGCAGAAGCACCTGAAGGTATCCAAGCAAAGTCTCAAGGAGACTATGTCCATGACATGCCCTAGGCCATCACAATGGGGAGTAGTGACAGGAGACTAACAGGGGGCTGCATGGAAGTCTAAGCCTATGTCCAGCGAAACTTTGAAGAGTGGTCACCTTTCACTTTTTAATCAGATCCCAGTTTAATGCTTTCCTCGTAGGGATTTTCTTTCTGCCTCACTTTCTGTCCCATCTTCATTCACCTCTTATGTTCAGAAAATATCTACCTGAATCTTTGGTATGTTGTTCTACTATCAAGGGATATCTATTATCAAGTAGTCTCCTAGGTTAGCATGTGTTTTTTTTTAATTCTTGCCCCACTACAGTCCTAGGTTTTTTTCTTTCTCTCTTCTACCTTGCCTCCCTCTAGATAGATGGTGCATGGAAGAATAGATTGATGGATATAGACACAGAATACAGCTGTAGATACAGATATATAGAGAAGGAGGGAAAGAAAATAACAGAAGAGAAATCTGGTTAAATAAATAGAGCTAAAATGGGAGGAAGCTGTTGATCTCTGCATCTTGTTTCATTTTCACAGGCCCTCACTTCAGAGCTGGCCAATGCCCGTGATGAGTCCAAGAAGACTGCCAATGACATGATCCATGCTGAGAACATGCGACAGGGCCGAGATAAATACAAGACCCTGCGTCAGATCCGGCAGGGCAACACCAAGCAGCGCATTGATGAATTTGAATCCATGTAGTCATGTAATGGACACCCAGCCTCTAGGGACCCCTCCTTTATTCTTCCTTCTATTCTTGATACCTTTGTATAACTCACACTGTGCTGGAGCCACTAACTAGAGCAGCTCTGGAGTCATGCCAAGCATTCAGTGCAGCCATGGGACCAAACCTAGCCCATCAGCCCTGCTCAATTCCTTGGGCAGACAAACAGCCCACTGTGGTGCCAATGGGATCCCCTTCTCCCTCCCTAACTCATTTAATCTAGCTTGCTAGAATAGACCATTTCCCCAGCTCTGAGGCACTTTCCCTTTGATTAGGCAAAAACTTCCATACGTAACTGTTACCCATGAGAGAGAAATGTAGAGTAGATTGAGTATCCCTACTCACGTATACCATCATTGCCTTCCTCTTCCATGTCATGTGTTTTTAAATTTTTTTTCAGGGTTGGATTATAGGGTTTAAAAAAAGAGGTAGGGCCCTGATAGGGTCACCTGACCTAAAATTTAGCCTCCCAGAGCCCATCCATTTTCGAGGCTTTCTAATGCTTGGAGAGTAAGATTCAGTCATTATTGTTTCTATCTCCCAGATTTGGGCTGTTAGAAACTCAGTAATAGACCTTTTCTCTTAGTTTAGGAACTCAGTTTCTCCTTAGTGTAGGATAGAAAGATAGTGCCTTCAAGGGGCTTTATAGCCTACAAGGCCATTGGTCTTTTTGTCCAGGTAAGAATGGGTAGAAGACCCTGCCCCAATGCCTTATGGAGCCTAAGCTTCAATCAAGTGACCTCTGAACAGTAGTATCTCATGTTATTCCAGAACCCTAGTTCTTCTCTGGATCTGCCCCTGTCCCCTCCAATCCCTAAATCACTTCCAGCTAGAACAGTAGGGATGAGTACCTGAAAGCTTAACCAGCTCCATATATACAGCTCTTGCCAAAATAAGTGTTCACACCTTTTGTCAGTATTTTCCCTACCAGTCCAGGTCACATCCCCCATCAGAACTATTTGGGCCCTAGTTCCTGCTTCACAGCCATCTTGGCCTTGGTGTGGTGAGCCCTAGACCTTGATGCCAGTAGGCTCAATTAGGGAGTGGACAGAAGAAGGTACATATGGTAAAGAAGCCCATGCCTCTGATCCTACAGTTTA